CTCAAACAAAATTCAACGAAGTGCAAATACAGAACACCGGAAATTTGCACCTAGTTATGTTACTGAATATTCTATTTTCCAGTTAAATATTCTTTTGGAGAAAAGAGAGCCAATACTGGAGGCTTCTGCCCAGCCATGCCCCTGTCACCAGATAGTTTTTTTCCAAGACTCGAACTGCAATCACCAAGTTTCTTAGGGAAGACCCTATCCTTATATTTAGATAATAATGTCTTAGTCCAACCTATAAAAATATATCTCAGTATAATTTGAAGCAAGGTGCACCCCACTGGTCACAATGTTAAGCAGTCCTCACTACACAAAAAAAGTTCTAAAATAGCAACTATTGTACTTGATTGGCTGAACCAAGATAACAGGAAGTTTTCTTTATTCAACAGCTCCAACAATCAAAGATGTGATTCTTAATTCTTAATAAGTAAGATTACAGATTATTCCTTATTTATTATATAAAAAAGCTTATATTATTCAAAACCTGCTTCATCTTCTATTGCAAATATCACCTCATTTTAACATGGTATCACTGGCTCGTCATATTAGGTGATCCAGATGTTATTGAAGGGAAATTTTTCTTTTCTTATTTTCCCCTTCTTCATTTCCTTCATAAAGGGGTCTCCTTTTATACCACCAGTGCACTCGGCTGAATTATGCCCCTTCCTTTGGCATATTTCACAAATATACATATAACTTTAAAGGAAAAACTTTAAGAGTATAATCATGAAATGAACTACTCCGTATCTACATGACTCCAAACTCACAACATTAAAAGAATATAAATGAGATAAAGACCAACTTAAATACCTCAACAGGTGTTGCCAAAATCAAAAGATACTGAATAGCTTCAACAAAAACACCAGGTTTAGATTTAGCAAGGCCAACAGCACAAATAGCTTGATCCTCCCCACTATATTCAGGACATTGTCCATCCCTGATGAAGAAAGAATATTACAGAGAGGCAAAGGAAAGCATGTAGAGACGAAAGCCATTAACCATGGTAAAAAAGCTACAAATATGGTACTAATTAATATGTAACAAATTGCCTACCTGTGTATGGTATAGTGAATGGTTTCCTATATTTGTTTATAAGGTATCATATGTGCCATACATCGGACAGCAATTTGGACACATTTTCATATATATGTATGTATCTGTCCATTTATGGATACTATATTCGTATGGTTGCATGAACACACATGAAGAAAAAGTTAAGAGATGTACAAGAATACAATAAACATTCATAATAATACATCAGAATTCAAACTAAACTTATCTAGTTGGTAAGTGTCGTCTATTCTACAATAATTTTAGAAATAATCTCATCAAAACACTGAAACCAATATGTAATGGCGCAAAAACACAACGTGGATCATCTATAGGTAATTTTCTGAGGTCGGAATATCATGTCTTGATGTAAACTCCATCAGAGCTTATTAACAGTTACTCTCAAAGATCTCATGGCAGAAATTTACTATGTTAATGAAGTCTAAAATAGACTAAAATGATAAATGTACATCAAGTCTCAAACTTTATTTCAGTAAGGCCAAGCAAAGTTAGAACCTTTACACTATTATGGTAAGGAAAATATAAATGAAGGAGACATAAAAACAAAGGAGAGGATAAGGGAAGGGAAGGAAATGGTTTTTCTCTCCCTTTGTAAGATATTAAGTAGTGAGCAATGAGTTAAAGAGAGGGAATGAGAGTAAAAGGTATGCTATTACAAGTAACCCTTATATTCTTCCTTACATACAATGATAAAAAAGTAGCTTAGAAACATTCTCTTCTTTCCCTCCTGCAATCTATCCAATTGGAAGGAGAAGTTTTTCTAGTCTAGGAAGGATGACCTCTCCCTTCACCTCTCTCCCCTTCTCAATCCATCAAACCAGACAAAGGAAAATGCATCCTTCACCTTTGTTCTTCCCCCTTTTCTCCATTCATCCATTTTGACCTCCTACCAAAGTCCAAACACTTAGAGAGCACATACGTAGCAGTTGCTCAGAGCTTTTAACTGAATTTTCAATCATGTCAAATAAAGTTTATATCCATTTGAACTTCATATTTATGAAAATAATGTTAAAGAAGGAGATCCCTCACACAAGCAGAATGATCATTATCATCGTTAGATGAAATATACGTTGTATCTACCAAGGTATGTCCTCCTCATGTTTAACTTATTGACTTAGCTTGTCATCTCTATTGTTTTGCAGGTCACTGACTGACAGATATCAATTGTCGTATCTATGAAGTGAGAATATCCATAAGCTTAATTATGATCTACACCTTGGAATAAGATAAACTTTTTCTTTCAAACTAAGACAATATACTCACCACTTGTCAAAACGCCAGAGAAACAAGGAATTATCTACCGATGCCCATGCCCTACGAATCTCGGGAAATATCCCACATAATGAATTTCCTTCCCCACCAGCTGCATTATATCTTTCAATAAGTACCCGAGGCAACTCCCAAGTATCCACCACCTCAACCAAAGGCGGCCACTGCAATGGAATTAAACATCATCGTGAAGCTTTGAAGAATAGAATTGATTTTAAGTTATATAATATATCTAAACAAAGCTATGATACTACCACAATGTCAGATTATCAAACATCAAGAACATGAAAAAGGCACTGCACATGAGCGGAAAATAATCATAGCCTTTTTAAAAAAAAGTTTAATATATGAGCCTTACAACTGTAATACATCAGAAAAATACTTTTCTCAAAATTATATTTAAAAAATAATAACATAATAGATTACTAATGTTAAGATCAAGTAATGTTAGGAAGAAGGAGATACTTAACTCATTGAATAACAGAAGATCAAGTGTAATAAATAACTATAAAAGCATTAAGTTTTATCTCTACCCAGTAGTACCCTGATAATGCCCATAATTCAATTCAAGGTTATACTAATTGTGATTGGAACTTCTGTAAACTCCGAATGCTCAATCCCACAAAAAAAAACACAGCCACGCGAATAACATAGCAGCAAAGCCAAAAATCTTACCAAGCGAAACAATCATCCCAAAACTAACACATTGCAGTCTGAGCCTTATATTTTTCACTTATACCACAAAAATCGTAGCTTTTAATTTCACACAAACATGGAAATTACCTCTCTGGGATGAGTAGAATAGGGGTGACTTGCGTATCTGGAAGCTTCTAGGGCTTCTTCAAGATCAAGCTGAGACGCGACTTCTCGGCCAATGCGGTCACTCACGACGAGGCCCGCATTGGTGACATCGCGCATAACGATTTCATCCTCCCAAGACATGCCGTTGGAAACCCTAGACCTATGAACAAGAAAATTGCAAAAATTGAAGTACTGCCTGCAAGATTGAATTGGAGCCGGAAGTCGGTTTTCCCTCTCTTTGTAGAAACCAAACAGTGCAAGTCTTGAATTGGAGAGCACTATTCACACCGCTAAGGTAGAGAGTGTTGGAGTAGAGAGATTTGTATTATAGGGTTTTGGGGAGGCTTTGTTTGTGGCGGGCAAATTAAGCTACTTTTGAAAAAACCGGAGGGGCCGGTTCATTGAACGGCTCGGTTCGTCCGTGTTGAACTAGGATTTATTTATTTTATTTTATTTTTTGGATTAAAGGATTTATTTGTTTTTAAGACGGCCAAAAAAAATAAAAATAAAAAAGACTACCAATAAAAATAGCAAGATTTTCATTGACAAAATACATGGATACTTTATGTTTTACTAGGAGTGGGCACGGTCCGTATTGAATTGGTTTCACTTCAAGATCGCAGTCGAATCAATTACAATAGGCATATAACAGCTTGGTTTAGTTGGTTTAGGCCTAAGTCCAATTATCTTTCCTTTTGCATTTTTTCAATATTGTTAAACCAATTACAACAACAAAAATCACAACTTGCTACATACTTTTTTCATTTTCTAGTATATCAAACCATCCTAAAACTCAACATGTCATAAAACTTCAAAATTCAATAACTAATATAGCTACAATTCAACATTCATATATGGTTATTTTCTAATTAGAGGACTACACATGTAAAATTAAATATAAATAAGTATACAAGTAGATGATCCGGTTCAGTTTAGGCTAATTTACAAAAGCTAAAAATTAAACCAACCCAAATAATATACAACCTCATTTGGTTTTTAAACTGTTTGGATTTTTCTTGGTCAAAAAAATCAAATCAAACCAAGCCAAACCGGTAATTATGAATTGAATCACCGATTTAGTTGGTTCGACCACATTGATGCCCACCCCTAGATTTTACACAACTGGTTTATACATGCTCACACTCCCCCTAATTGATATTACACATGTTGGTGCTTAAAAAAAACCTTTCCAAGTGTATGCAAGAGGTCTTTTTATTAATCACGACGAACATCTAGAAAAATACAATTGCAAATATATATATAAAGTATTTTAAGTCGTCACGTGATTGATCTATCCTAACTAGGTCTATGCCGCCGACAAATCTCGCGCTGAGGTACGTTTATCCCATCAAAGATTTGTCAAGATAGGTCTACTTGACAAAAAATTTGAGGGATAGGTCTATCCAACAAAAAGGGATAGCTCTATCGCAACAAAAATTTGCTGGCAGAGGTCTATCGCGATTAATGTTTAGCTGGGCTAGGTCTTCCCGACCAAAAACTCATGGGTCATGTATATCCCGACAAATGTTTCGTTGGGCTATGTCTACCCAAGAAAACTTTTGACGAGATAGATCTATAGATCTTTCTAATAAAAATTTGTTTGTGTCGGGATATGTATATCTCGTCAAAGATTCGCAGGGATAGGTCTATCCCGACAAGTTCACCATAATAGCTCTATCCGGACAAAAAGCTTTATGGGATAGGTAAATATTTTCATAGTTAGAAAATCCACAGTGGGAGGGTGTAAAATCAATTATACATCTTTAGTTTCTGTTTTTTTTTTTTTTTTTCAGTAATGAAAATAGTTTCCCTTTTCGACCCAAAAAACAAACACACAAAACAGTCCCTCTCCACTTAGGCAAACTGTAGAAAGCCCTAGCTTCTCATAGTCCCGCCAAAATGTGGTCTCCCCGTTCTTATTTGTCTTCAACACTTTCCTAGATTGAGATGCAAGACGGCGACGTATTATTACTCACCGGCATCGTGTAAGCTATGACAGTTTCCAGTGCCTTCAACGCATTCAAGTCATCTAAATCCATCTTCTGGAAATCCGTAAACACACTCTCTCTGTCTCTGTAAATACATACATAAGTTTACATCTCCCTCCCTTTACCTCAAGTCATTTTCCGGTTGATTTTCTAAGCAATTTTTAATGTCTGAATGTGATTTGTATTGTTTGATTACAGACTGGTAGGCTTCAGCAAACCATAGCGGGATGCATAGAGCGGAAGGGGAAGGGCTTGCACAGTGGAAAGGTCTCCACGGTGAAATTGTGGCCAGAGCTTGCCAGCAAAGGAAGGTACTTTGATTTTCAGCCCAATGTGATTCGAGCTTCGATTGAGTTTGCTGAGGAATCGCCTCTATGCACCACTCTCTGTAAAGATGGGGTCAAAATTCGAACGGTTGAGCACTTGCTTTCGGCTTTGGAAGCTATGGAGGTTGATAATTGCCGGATTGAGATAAAGAACTCAGACCCCGAAGATTGCGATCTCGAGGTTGGTACCATATATTTGTGAATTTTCGATTTGTCTTGAGGAGGACTTGCTCTTGATTTCACTATGAGACATATCAGGGGGGAAATTACACATAGTAGGTTATTGGGGGCGCTTGAACTGTGTAATTGCCACTTCTAAGAAAGTTGAGGCAATCTGAATTTAGAACATAGAGAACTACTGATTCTTGAATATGACATAGGAAAAGTAATAATGCCCAAAATCAAGTCATGCAGGTTCCTATTTTTGATGGGTCAGCAAGTGAGTGGGTAGAGGCTATAGAACAAGTTGGCTTAAAAGAGGCAACAGATCATTGTGGCAACTGTTGTGAGAAGATGGCAGCATATGTGAATGAACCAGTGCATGTGTGGAGGAATGATTCTTTTGTTGCTGCATTTCCATCACCAGAAATTCGTATCACTTACGGGATCGACTTTCAACAGGTACACATTTTGCTGGATTGGGAATTGTCTTTACTGACAGCATGGTTTTGGAATGTGAAACAAAGAAGTGTTCTTATTAAATATCCTTACTTGAAAGAGATTGGTTAATTAATGAGAGGAATGGCTATCAAATATCTGCAGATTATTTTGTTTTTCTCACTACTTCTTTGTCCAAATGTGAGAATTCATAGGCTAAGTTTTGGGCTTGCTTCTTTGACACTTTCTGCAGGTGCACGCTATTGGCTGCCAGTGGTTTTCTGTGACCTCCTTGGATAACTCTTTCTATTCTAAGCACATTGCTTTGTCAAGAACCTTTTGCATTTATGAGGAGGTCAATACTAAACGGTTCTCCATTAGTAGTCTTGAAATTACTTTCTGTTTTCTGTTATAGCTTAGTCATATATTGTTGAATTTATTATGGTAATGCTTGACTCCATGTTCTAACAGGTGGAGCGAATGCGGAATGCAGGACTCATAAAAGGGGGTGGATTAGAAAATGCACTTGTTTGTAGGTGAGAAGCTCCATTTATGTTAAGCTGAACTAGTTAGGAGATGACATGGGTTGATCAAATGCGAAGTGGGTGGACTGAGGTGACAATTGCCAGTTGGATATGATTTTATGCAAGTTAAAACAACGAGTTCAGGCAGAGAATTTGTTGAAGTGTGTGGGGAATATATCATGTCAACTTGATTTGGGAGAAAACACTTATAGTACACTTAATCCTATTTTTCTTTTGCAGTGCTAGTAAAGGTTGGTTGAACCCACCACTGCGTTTTCCAGATGAACCTTGTCGCCATAAGGTCTTAGATCTTATCGGCGACACTTCCCTGTTTGCAAGGTTTGGCAGTCAAGGGTTTCCAGTGGCACATATAGTGGCATACAAGGTATATACATTTGTCTTATATTCATGTCTAAGAAGAGCTTAGAACAAAATGGTTATGAGATATTAAGTCCATTGTTTGTTTGTGTGTCATGTCATGCAGGGTAGCCATGCACTGCATTCTGATTTTGTTCGCCGGCTATCAGGAATTATATAAAAGGATAATGTCTTGGTCCTCTATAAGTCATTGTGATGTAGCAATAATCCAGAAATTCAGATGCAGAAATATAGAAGTAGATTACAGAAGTGGACCGGCATATGGTTTCAAGTTTCAACCTAAAAGTGCGCATATTACAGAAGTAGATTTACCCCAGTAACTGCTTGTAATTGAAAATTGGCTTGGTGAAAATGATATAAGGTTGTATGCCTTCAAATTGTATAACACTTTGTTCTTGATCAAGGCAAAAAATTTCCCGGTTGGACATCCTCTGTGAAAGAGTTAATTAGAAAGCAGATAATCAAAGCTTGGTTCATCAATTTATACTCCTTTTTTTCTGTGGGTTAAAACTAGGTCAAACTCCAACTTCTGGTAGTCAACGCCGTGAGCCTGGCGTTCAACAAAACGATGTTATTAGTTCATATAACCAAGACTACTGCCAGAATAACCGAGTTACACCACATCAACAGAAATACATAAAAAATATGTAAAACAATCGTTTTCCTTGCTAAGAAAGGAACCCTAGGTAACACATTAAGATGTTGAACCCTGTATCTTTTTCTCCATCTTTGCACAGGCATGAAACAGCACAGACGAAAACAGAAAGAATCAAAACGACTCCAAATGGCCGGAAAACAGACAAAATGAGGTCCAGTTAACTATGCTGTAATTCAATATCAATAAATATTTAAAATCTTTGCTCTTTATGCCTTGACATTTCTGTACATACGCCACTGTGTGCAGAACCAACCACTTGCAGTGTCCTGTTGAACCTTCAAACCGGTTCATTTCCCTTGAGAATGTTGTACTTGCAGAGAGGACATGTTGCATTCATTTTAAGCCATTTCACAATGCAAGTAGCGTGGAAATGATGATTACAGGGAAGAGTGTGAAGCTCTGTACCATCCTCATAGGGGCTGAGACATATACAACATTCCTGGAAAGAGAGCCAAAACCATACATCTTTAGAGCATAAAAATTCTTCATAAATTTCCAAAATACCATAAAAGCACAAATCGCTTTAATATTTGGCCTGTAAAAAATACCCATTTACCAACTGGCCCTCATAAGTACATACAACAGTATAACTCTCTGGCATAATATGGAGGACAAATGGGTTTTTTTTTATTAAAATAAAATTTTCTAATAAACTATAATATATAGAATGAGTTGAACATAATGGGAGTAATATACTGAAATATAAATGCAATTCATGATAATGTGATGCCATAGCATACCGCGTCCTCAGGTAAAAGTATACGCTCAATTGCTAGGTACCCACTGCTTGTTTCTACTGGAATCATTTTCCCTGCTCCAACACTAGATTTTTCCTCACTGCTCGATCGAAATTTGTATTTTGGAAGAATACTGAGATCTGCTTCAGATGCACCTTCCTACATTGTCACACCAACAAAAAAAAAAATCAAGCCAAGAATAAGCAGTTACAATTTCTTAATTTTGTCGATAAATTTTTGAATCAAAGTTATAGGTTATCACTTCATACCTGTCCAGCAACCGCATAAAGAATTGCAATGATGCATGGCAAACAGCAACAAAGAGCAACTCCAATCAAACATGCCAGAACAACACAAAAGATGGCAAAGAAGACATCAAATGCCAGAAAAACCACAGCCAACCTGCACACATTCAGAATAAAATATTTTTCTTTTATTCGAGAAGTTACAATCTCTTTAGATAATTAGGCCGTTCATAGTTTATAGACACACAAAGAGATGACAGCTCAGGGTGACTCTTGTTTTAAAATGAGCTGACAGTCATTACAGTTTTAGCGCTGTAGCAACTTAAAGTGAGGTTTTAGTTTTAGATGTGATCTGCCCTGGCCCAGCTTTTGTATTCATCTCTAACATTATAATGCCATAACTCCCTTCTGGTGAAACTTTTTAAAATTCCTAAAAGTTGCTTGTTTTAAACAAATTAAATTACTATATTATAAAAAAGGAAAGAAAGAAGACACGCATACAAGCACATAATTTTAGATGAAGGAATATTTCTTAACAGATTGGTTATAGAAATACCAGTACAAACGTGGAGCATTTTGCAGAAGAACTTCACCGCCAGAGACTACCCAATAAAAGCCAACTATCCACCAGAGAAATGATGCCATTGTATTCACTGTTTCGCATCGTTTAGAGAGACTAGACCATATAAAATGCAGTCAGTCAGTAATTTATAGACCTTCCACAAACAGGTAATGAGGCAGCACATGAAAACTCTAATTGCAGATAAAGCTGGGGACTGGAAATACCATAGGAAGTAGTCATAACAGTTTGGTCAAATTCACAAACATATTTTGCATGCATCATCCCCATACAATGAATTTTAGAGAGCAAAAATATGAGCAACATCAAGATTAAAGCTTTGATGAGTTAAATTGGATTTTTACAAACAAAAAAACGAAAAAAAGTGATGATATGAATAATGCCAGAATCATAACTATGAAGTCCACAACGTTTCCGACTGTCATTCCCCAACTCTAATAACTTCCAAACAAGCAAAGATGTCAATATCCCATCTTGAACTATGCAGTAAAGATACTCAGTCGGATGGCATACAAGGACAAGTGGAATTCGATTATGGGCTTAAATTAGTCACTAAACATGGTTATAACGTACTCTAAATATCCAACCACCACTGCTATCCACCTCTTATGTGATACATAGGACTCAGCTAAGCTCAATTTACATTGTGGGAGAGCAACCCATTCATCAAGATTACTGCGTTTCAGTGTCCACTTTGAATTCCATGAACCATAACAAATATATCCAAAAGCAAATTAGAAGAAACCTGGAGCGAGTGGAAATCGCCAAATCCCTAGCTGCTGCTTCTGCTTCTTCATCGTCGGTATCATTTGCATCGATTTCGACCTGGTGCTGGTTCTGCTGGGCGTCCTGGTTTCTTCTACTGATCCTCCGAGCAATATTATTCCTTCTCTGGTACTCAACCCACACCAACACCACATGCACGAAACACTGCAGCGCATATCCACAGATCCACAGCCGGATCGGCGTGTTTGGGTGCTCATGTTCTGTCCATATCAGCATCGCCACCGACACCACCACGAAGGCCGTGTTCCACATCATGTCCAGAGCCACCACCGGCTTGGAGTAGCCCCAGTCGGCGCGCCGCTCGTCCAGTTCCCTCGCCGCCGTCTCCCGCACCAGCATCGAGGGGCCACGGCGCCCGGTGGCCCGCCCCAGCAGCATCGCCAGCGTGGCGGGTCGGGCGGTCGGGGAGCCGAGGTCGGAGGAGTCGCGGCCACTGCTCGCCTGGCGGGGAAGGAGGAGCGGCGCATGGGACTCAGCCGCTGCCGCCGTCGTAGCCGAAGATTCCGAGGACATGTTTGTGACGAAATTATGAGAAAAAGAGGCAATTGAATTGCCAATTATAATTGAGAGAGAAATAGAGACATGATTGTGAGAGAGAGAGAGAGTGCTCGACTCTTCCTTCCTATATTACAACTGTTAGTATTAGTGAGGGATATGGAGATGGGTTTGGGAATTGTGTGTACGTCTTTTTTCAAAGTCGCAAAGTCTCAAAGTCTCAACACTTTCTGAGTTTTGAATGGTAGATAGACATGGATGAAAGGTTTTTGCTGGTTTTTTCGTCATTTCAGTAATTGACTCCTCTGTTGAGTTTTTGCGCCAAAATACCCTTATTATTTGCCAGCGCACGACGGCACACCGTTCAGTTTCTTTTTTTTTTATCTTAATTGATCAGCCTCAATTTTTCTGCCCTTTAAAAAATTTCAGCAGTCAAATTTCTTTATTAAATATTTATAAGAACTAAAAAGAAAAAGATAATTTGTTGTTGCCCACTCTATTTAACAGATTGCTAATCATATTGTGGTATAAAGATGGAAATATTATGGATGGGTAGATGATCACTACGTGATCTACAAAGATACTACAAATGTTTTTGGATTTTAGAGATCCGGTCGCTTTCTTTCATTAAATTCTATTCGATACGTTGTCAATCCAATTTTCCCTTCACTCAACCAAAAAAATAAAATAAAATAAGTTTTTGAAGAATATATAACTAGTGTCCTTTCATATTTTGAATTTTTTTTAATGAAGAATCATTAGCTTCCTTTCACTCACCTAAAATTCAAACGTGGTAGCAGAACCCCTTTGTGCCGCCACCAACTACACGTGCTGGTAGGGCAGAACTACACGAGTTGGTCCTCCGTAATGCCGTCTGACAGACACTCTGATGCGGCGCAACGACGTGTCGTACACTTGTACTCAAACACACGCGTCCTCCCTCTGCTCCATGAGATCCTCAGTAACAACATGAGTCAGCCAGGCTAGATGGCTACAGACACCCTTGTTTATGCTGATGTACGTTTAAATTTTGACAGATGGAAATGATTTTCCATGCAAGCTTCTCATCCGCCATCCCCCAACTGCAGCAGAAAAACGCTGCTTCTTGGGATTTGTTTTGAACATCCATTAATCTGTAAGGGCAGCAGTTCTTCAAACAAATGGACACATGAAACGACTCCACTTGAAGATGATCCTCAAAATCTTGGATGTTCCCTTGAGAAAATTCATTTGACAGTTTTGCAGACAATTGGCGAAGAAGCGGAGAGCATGTCTCAGATTTGCAAAGCTGACCATCATTTGTTGTGGAACTTTTGGTCTCTCCCGAGTTGCCAATATCAACAGGGCAGCAATAAGCAAATTGAACTTGGTGCTTCTTTTCTCCTAACATGAGCAGAAGCTCGTCTTGGTGTACTACCTTGGCTTTTTTGTTTCTTTCCATAACCAAGACCCCTTCTGCTACCCTCTCATCACTTACTCGCAGTCGCGGAGTGGAATTATTGTTCCTCGAATTTGAACCGTGTTCATCTTCTTGGCTGCTTTTCGAAAACTTGAAGTTTGGATTTAAGCAGCTTCGGATAAATGCGTCCGAAGCTAATGCCTTCACATAGTGGGTTGAAGAAATTGAGACAGTCTCATTGTTTGCAGGGTCATAACATTGAATTCCCAGTTCGGACTGTATTTTTCCTTTTAGAGTAGCCATTTTAGGCTTCTCGCCATGAACAAGTATCACGTTCTTGGGGGAGAGAAATTTGATAAGGTCCATAATCCCTTTGGCATCTGTATGAGGACTGAAAGACAGATGATGAATCTGGCAATCAAAATAGAATGTATAAGAGGACAATCATGAAGAAATGCGAAAAACAGAAGAAAACTTCTTTCAATTTATATTTGAAAACAAATCAACTCGTGTAAAACTATTAAAAATGAAAATTCAATGGAAAAATTCTTGAAGAAGAATGATGTTGAAACTGTTGTAAAGGGTAAGAGACGGAGTTGAACCTGGCATCGCACATCAATTTGCGTGTCCTTGTCCAGATCAATTTTGGTGGGTTTACCCGACATCAATTTATGTCCTATAGTTCCAGCCACGCAATACCTAGAAAAGGAAAGAAAAAAAATTGATGACTAAAAGTTCAACTTGGCACCCTATTCTTTCTTTTTTTCCTTTTTTTGTTCCGCCTATCAAGTTCCAGCAAACCATCGTATCATATGGACATATGAACATGACGACATTGTTTCTTTAAATTTTAAACATCAAAAGAGAGTTGCAAGGTAGATCAACTCAACTGGTAACTGAAAAATATATTCCAGAATTTACTATGGTGTTTGTTATAGCGATCACTTTCTAGGTTCCAACTTCCAACCCAAAAGTTTCCTATTGATATCAGATAATAAATTTGAGATTTAGAGATAAATGAAATCGAAGGCAGTTACCCGGGCAGTGTAACAAGATTCATTTCCGAAGGAGCCCAGTGCTTGAAAACTTCAAGTGAAAAACCACCACTGATCATCCCTGGTGTGGCAAACAGAACACAAGGTCCAGGAGCATCGATCATAGAACGGTCAAACTTGTGAGCTGCAACATTCAAAACCAAAAAAAGTAAGATGAAGGGCTCATTAAACAATTAGTTATCAAGCAATGAAATATATTCAATATCAATTCTTGCAAAGTTAACTTAAAATGTAGATACTCGTATGTCTATAATACTGCTGTGTGGTTCTTCCTTTTCATCAACATTATATATTGCTACTTGATAAACTACTCACTCTTAATCTTTTCTGCTTTAAATCCCAAAGAACAACCTTATATATATTTTTGGTTATAACAACATTATATCTTGATTTCCAAGAAAAAACAACTTCAGTCCCTCAGAAATTTAATAACAGATAAAATAAGTACCATTTTTAAAATCAAATGCATTGCGTGTGGAGTACGTTTCTTTAACTTTCTGGCTGGTCCAACTGATAAGCATCTTATAGTACATATTGGCTTGAAGGGTCAAACCTGAAAGAATTAATATCATCAGTAGAAATTTGAAAGACCACTGTATACCAAGAAAGAAATGAAGGCACCCCGAGAAATTGAGAAACTGTAAAAGATTTGGCACATCAGAAAATTTTTCACACACGCAGATAAACTTCCAGAATCATGTCAAAGTTGAAATCAATAAAACTTTGATCCCTGCTAGATAACTACTTCTTGTTTATACATTAATTATGACTAATCACAAATTTCTAAGATTTATTTACCCACGTTATAGGTACCAAAATGTTATCAGATCAAGAATGGTGCAAGTAACGAAACTTAGATTGCAAAGCATCCACTTTGATAAGTGAGAGCATAGCATACAGTTTGACCACGTATCCTGCAAACAGTTAATAGATGTGAGAGGGAAGTACAGCAGCTAGTGCAAACCTGCTGAGAAGTAAATAGGAACCTTTAGATTCATGCGCTCCCAATAATCTTCCAGCAAGATACAGAGTTCCTACAAAATAATAGATTACATTCAGAACAAAATGTCACAGCCAGGGCTCAGAATTGGCTACGAAAATCATTAGCACTAAAATAAACAGAATCAAGATCAAACATAAAGATACAAAGAATTAGAATTGTTGTAGCAGTGTCTGGTGTCATGAAATCAAGGCGTTCTAGTTGGAATATGGTTGTTTATTTCTGTCATATAAATGATGGATTTTTAACTAGATACAATTTCCATAATCTAAATCTATTAATACAAATCCATTATCTAACTAGCTTGAAAGGCATCAATACGATAACAATGCTGATTAAAGTATGAAAGCTTAATAAGGACGTGCAGACTAACTGCAAGGAACTTTGTAATCCAAAAGCAATTATTCAGGACTTCAGAGGTCTCTCTCATTTTTCCTTCTTAGAACGGAAGAACTTCCTTCAAGTACAAAATATAAATACGAAGTCAAAGAAAAATGAAACTCTCTTAATTAGAGTACCTGAGCTCTCCCAAGGGCAAATGTTGGAATTAGCACTTTTCCACCACCAGCGACGCATTTGTGAACCTACATAAACCTATATTAGAGATTACCAACAAAACCACCTTCAGAGGAGCAAGATAAGAAAATCTTGCATCCAATTTTGACAGCCACCAGTTTCACAAAGGAATACATAATGTATGACATGTATGACATCATAAATAGAAATTGATTCTTACGGCAATGAGTTGCATATTAAAGAACCAAGAGTTTGATAATTATGACTCTTTACACTAGTTTAAATTATAGTATGAACTGTTGATACTTCAATTTTGTCATTTACGTACAGCTCTGAGAAATTCTCTTTCCCGGGCATATTTTGAATCCCGGATGGTTGTTCCATATGTGGACCTGTAACAGGAAAAAATATCTATGCATAAGCAAGTGCTTGGAACACAAAGGTTTCATACATTAAAAGAAATTGTACTCTAAGTTCATCAACAAAGGACATCCAATGTTTAACAAATGATAAGGTGCAAAGTCAAATAATATACAAGACATAGATATCCCATACTCTGAAATAAGAAGGTCCAAATTTAGTCGTTCAATTTGAGCTGCTCCAAGATGCCTATCTGGTGTCATATTATAGTCTCCTGTGTATACCATAGCAGCGTCTCCCACCTTTGCATAAAACATTGCAGCTCCAAGAACCTTAGAAGAAAAATAAATATTAGCACTCAAGGAATGACACACGAAAGTGACAAACAGTATTGACTGTTCCAAGAAAATTATTAATGAAATAGAACTATAATTCTTTTCCGGTAGTATAAGCATGATATCAACAGACAATGTATTCTAGATGTGAGATAAACAAGACTTACATGTCCTGCATAGTACGCACGGATTTGAAGGTCTTTATCAACCTGCACTGTTTGCTTCAGATCCACTGGTATAACTGCATTGAGGAACCATATAAAAAAGTAACCATAAAACAATAACAGAATAGCTGAATTTCAGAAAACAAAAACAACCCTTAACTTGTGAAAATTTTCAAGTAACTTATGACGACTAAATCTTCAACTGGTTCAACAAAATCATAAGAAATACTCAAGTACCTTTCTTCATGCATTCGGCAATGTGATCAGAAGAAAACTGTTCTTCCTCACCCCTTCGCTCAACCATCACTTTTCGATAGTCCTCTAACATTATAGGAGCCAATGCCTTTGTCGGATACTGCAGTACAATCACGAAAAACCGTTACAACAAGAACATCAAAATACCAATTGACACAGACATTTTCCCGAGCACCTTACCGTCATGTAAATGGGGCCACGATAACCGCAGACTTCCGTGAAATAAGGGAGGGCTCCAACGTGATCCAAGTGACTGCCCATTTGCAAAAGATCAACAAATATTGAGGTAAGTCTACTGAACCATAAAGAATTTACAAGATTAGAGTTGGTTTTTGTTTTCTTTTCGTACAAGTGGGTGATGATGATGCAAGTGAGGGCGTGATCGAAGTTCGGGTCGGGTTCAGGTTTAGGAATGAGAGAGAAGTCGGGGTAGCGTTGGTGGTCTAGATGCCCCATATGCATTCCGCAGTCGAACATGATTCGCTTCCCATTGATTGTCACCACTACACAGCTCTTACCTACCTCTTGCCCAGCGCCTGATGACCCCAAAAAATAATAATTAATTAATCAATTTAAGGCAAAAAGTAAAAAATTCTGGGAGAGAGATAGAGTTTTGGTGAAGAAGGAAGAGAATAGAATGAAGGTGAAGGGTAGAGTTACCGAGGACGAGAGACTCGATGGCCATGAGAATGAGATACGCAGCTTCTTGGCGCGCTTTTGAGTTTCGGCGTTTGATTCGTTTCGTTTTGTGGCAGAATTTAAATAAATAACAGCCGAATTAATGACAAATGGATACAATTACGGGATTTACATCCAATAGCCCAGAGAGATTCATGACATAGCCCACCATCGGAAACAGTCCAACCCAGCAAGCACTATCCAGGAAAGCATAAAATAAAATAAAATATAGGATTTTTTTTTAGGGCCATTAGGAAAGGGTGGAAGGAAACTCACACACACTGATACCATGGGGACTTGAACCCAGGACCACTTGGAAGCACACCAAAGACCTGGGTCAATCCAACAAAACATAGGAATTTTGAGGGAATGAAAACCGTCTAACTTGCAATGAGCCTATAGCATTAGTGGTTAAGTCTGGCGTTCGAATCCCCGTCCATGCTCTATGCCTTTGGTTTCAATTTCTGCTTGTTGAACCCTACTCTTATTTCTTGTTAGAGAAGACTTGAGAGAGTGAAGCCCAACCCATTTCAATTTGTCAGAAAGTTTCTGGTTGTTTATTTCATTCCATACTACAAACGACAAGAAGAAGAACTGCACAAGTAAAAATGAAAAATGATGGTTTTAATTAGAGGCTCCATTTCAAACCATAGAATATATCATAAAGCTAATAACATTATAGCCCAGTCCCCTAACGTGAGCTTGATAGGGACTATATAGGAATTTAACATTCTACCAGAAATATATATATATATATAACCAACAGTGGACTATAGATGAATTAACACAACCACAAAAGATCTGATCTTGATCTGGTTACAAGAATATTAACAAACCCTGAACCAACAACAATCACACTAGCTGCAATTACAAATATAAACTGCAAAAGATAGAACAAAAGTTAAAACCAATAAGCTACCTATACAACACAACCATTGCCCACTCACGACACCACAAAAGGTTAGCCCAAAGTCAATAATCTTCTTCCCTTTCTCTTCTTTTCTGCTGATCTCTAAGCATGGGAATAACAATCTACGTCAGAAGCATACCGACTTCTTTCTCTGAGTTTGCCCTCCTTTTTGGATTCTCTCCTTGCCAGCTTTGGTGAACACAGTATCATCGGCATGCCAGCTACAATCTTTTAATCAATCACAGTAGGGAGAAAATGGAAAAATAATAATAAAATGTGGAAAATGGAAGGAAGAACAAGGCCTATGCGGATTAACGCCTTTATGCAGCTGCAAATTAGGACTTTTGTCATTGGGTGCTGCGTGTTAACCCACCTCGTGCCAAACCTCTGCACAAATATGTGAAACACGTCAACTTCTACAAGTTCTGTGAAAACAATAATCACTACCATAGCCACAATTATTCTCATCAGAGCACAACATTCATATAGTGGTTGTACATTTATGTGAGAATGAGATTTTAAATTATCTTGCAGTTTTATCTTTGAAAAGAAAAAAAAAACATACATTTCCTATATACGCTCTATATAATTTGAAGGTATATATAGTAAGTACCAAGTGTAACAAATTTACACAACTGAGGGGATGTATATCCTAAAGCAAGTTGATCCATCATCGCCAATCTCTCTATTAGTAAGAAAACATAATAAATGGTACAACCATAAAACTAGTTTGGTCTAAGACATTACAGGTGGTATGAGATTGAAATATAAGTACCTTCCAGAAAGAACCTGAGCACTGTTGACAGAACCTTTGGCATTACCAAACCGCTTGGCCCTATTCTCATGTTCTTTGTCCACACGCATGGCAGCCACCTCCTTCTCCATGGCAGCAACTTCTCTTCTCATTTTCTTTGCCTCAACCTCCATTGCTTTAGTCAAGGTATCTACCTTCTTAGCCAACATCTGAAAGACAAGAATCACAAATGAATACTTAACCAAGAGCATACATTACAGAATAATAGACTGATAGAAAAGAATATCAACCTCGATAGCATCATCCTTATCTTTCAGGCTTTGATCTTTCTCATGACCAGCTTTCCTCAAAGCTACAACCTCTTTCTGCAGCAAATCATACAAAACCCCTGGGACACTATCCTCTATATCCACTGTTGAGAATTCATTTGGCTTATCATCTGAATTTCCCTTCCAGTTATTTTGTGCTTCACCATCCTTGGTTCCCTCACAAGATTGGTTAACTGAGAAACTAGGGCTTGTACCATTTAAGAGAACCTTACCCCTGTCCAGTGACCTTGTACCACCGTCAAATGATTTTGATGTGCCTTTAGCATGCTTCAACACTGAACTGGTGCTAGAGGACAAAGACCTGACCGGTGTTCTCTTGGATAAATAGCCATTGGAAGTTAATTTTGGAATGTTATCAGCCCCACCCAGAGACTGACGTCGAGAGGGCCCATTACTTGTACTTCTTCCCTCAGCTGTGCTGCGATTAGTACTGCTAGAAGATCCTCTCACACTCTCCTCAAGCACTTTAAGTCGCATATGGTATTTTTCCTGTTAAATACAAGAGAGAACTTTTACTCTCCATAACATCCCACCTTTAAATTACATACAAATTAAAAATTGATTGCAGAAATGGATTATTACTTTCAACTGAGCTTCGGACTTGGCGGCTCGCTCAGTTATGGCAAGCTTATCACGGAGTTGCTGCATTTCTCCCTGTAAGAACACAGTTTGGCAATTACAGTAAACAGTAAAGCCAAACACTGAAAGCTCAAAGAAAGCCAGTAAGAAGCTAAGAGTTCGACCAAAAAAGAAGATAAGAACCACTACCTGCAAGAATCTCCGTTCTTCAAGCCATTGTTTTACAGGCATCACTTTGTCATTAGCATCTTTCCACTCATTTGCTACCACTACAGCTACTCTGTTTGCTGTTACTTTTGCACGGGCCAACTCCCGGTCTAGAGTTTTCCTTTCCTCCTGAGAAACACAAAACCATACCTCTTCAATCTTAAGAATGCTTTCAACTACAGGTTACAGGTTAACAATAAGCAAAAACCAATATTGAACATTTAAATATGTTTGGCATATTACATTCATCTCCTGAAATTTCCGCTGATAATCTCTCACAGCATTTGCCGCTGCACCTCCAGCAAGAACAGCCTCTTCCAACTCCCGCACAGTCTGAGTAAGCTTTTCAACCTCGGCAACCTTTTGTCTATGCATCTTGTCTAAAATTTTATTTTCTTCCTACCACACAGAAGCAGTAGAAATATAAATCACCCTAGTCGAACACTGAAAGCAGGAAACTATAATATTAAATTCCCAACACCACTGCCAAAAGAAGAAAAAATATGTCTAATGCACTTAAAGAAACGAATATCATGCATGACCTTGCACTTACCTGACAAATTTCTATCTGTTTCATTAACTCTTGGTTTTTATTCTGAAGATCATCCACCATGGAGGCCTTAGCCAAAGCAACCTGAACAGTCCTCTCAGCCTCAAGTAAAGCTGCTTCTTTTGATTTGGTAAGGCGATCCAAAGCTTTGTTATCATCTTGAAGCTTTGCAATCTGTAAGCAGCAAAGTAACTAATTAATTACACTTACAAGAGTCACCATAAATTCCGTCTGCTAGGGTAACACACAAAGTACCTCTTGTCGAGCAAGCTTGAGCTCAGCCTCCAGAGGTGCAAGAATGGCTTCAATTGGAGGCATATCATCATCCTTTTGGGCAGCATGAACCCTGCGTAGAGTAGCTTCAGCTGCAAACTGAGCTGCCATGGAAGCTTTCTTCTCATCATTGATTTTTTTAATTTCTAGATTCTGCAAAACATTTTTTGACGAAGTAGAATTGTGATAACAAGTATATATAACCAAAGTGAAAATAAGTTAGCGAACTTTCAGATAAGTTGAGACGAGGATCAAATTCAAATAATACTTTGCTTTCTAGAAGTGATTCTGTTAACTTCAGCTTCTCCTCCACCTTTGATAGTTCATCAGTGAGCTGCAATGTAATCAAAACACAGAAAAATAGAAAAGTCAACAACCATTTTAGTGACATACTAGTTAAATGAGAGAGAAAACAAAGGAAAAAAATTCCCCTAATATTACATATATCAAAATTTAAGATTTATAATGTCCAGCATTCCAGATTATCAGAAAACAAAATTCTTTGATATCTCTCTCAAAGTGGCTAATGGCAACAAATGCAAGTGTCACAATAAAGAAGGAAACCATGAGCTATATTGCAAACATGAGAAAATGTACCAATTAAGGCTGTTAAGCATTTTCCTTCTCTCTCTTTTTTTCTTTTTGTTCTTTTTTTGGTGAACAGGACTGTTGAGCATTTAAGCTTACATGCCAACAATATTCCTATACAAGTAATACATTACTATACATACCACAATTTTGGGCCAATTAAAATATGTTACCCCAGAACTAAAAAAGGAATAAGAAGTAGTTAAATTCCTTTTCAGGAAGAACAAGTCAAATTCTTAATAATCAACTAATATGCTAGTTAGTCCTCCAGAAATGGAATCCAAAAAGTAAATTAACCCTTGCCTTGCCCCTCAGTTACAGTTACTAGAAAACAGATTCCCTGTTCATCATAATAATTGTTAAAATAGCCATAGTCTACTCCTGCAATTCCCAAGATCCTAAAATATGGGCTAAATGTAAATTTTATTATTAAGGAAGAAACACGACTAGGAATAATTCTTCAGACGTGACTGTTATTGCCCGGAGAGAAGGAAACTATACAAATTTCAATTTAAATAAGATTTGAGATTCAAATTCAAGACAAACACATAAGCTGCTTGGCAAAGATGCCAACCTAGAAAATCCAGAAACCAATATTTGTATACACACAAGGACACACAAAAAAAAA